ACATTTGTACCTCTGTTGCCATCATTATTTTCTAGACATTTATTTTCTATTCAGCTCTGGATGTCAGCACCTCTTTTCCAGCCCCCCCCAATCTTGTGACCGCTTCATAAATTATGTTATTATTTTCATATCTTACACCGACCGCTGTCTCCCTTCCCCCACGGGTTCTGTTGTTCGTCTGTGTGTATGTGTGTCCCCGCATGTGGGCAGTTATGTGCCCATCATCACCATCAGTTCCCCCGTAGGCCATAATTCTTATGGGAGACTCTTTGACCTTTGCTCCTGAGAGACAGCTGGGTGGGTTCTCAGTGATTCCGACTCATAGTGCCCCCCAGTTACCCGTACAGGATCTCCAAGAGTGTGTATCTTTATGTGCCTCGTCTATCTGTGACTGGTGGGTTCGAACTGGCTCCTTCCCTCTGCTACTAAACTCACGGCCATTGAAGTGAGCCTGTAGGATAGAGCAGAACTGCCCTTTTGGGTTTCCAAGGCCGTAAATTATTATGGGAGTGGAAAGCCTCATCTTTCTCCTACAGAGTAGCTGGTGGGTTCGAACAGCAGACCTTGTGGTTAACTGCCCAGTGCATAACTCACTACGCCACTAGGGGTCCTTTTACTGCCACCTCCCAATTGATTCATTCCCCCAGGAGACTCAGATGGACCCCTAGTGGGGCAGTGAGCTAAAGAACAAATGAGTGGGTTAGCCCCACCCGGGCCCCCATTCCTCCCAATCCAGCTTCAAGGATATTCATCATCTTTTCCAGAAAGAAGAACTTAAAAAGGATATATTCATCATCTTTTACCAAGGCGAGCAACTCAGGCAGAAAATCCGCAAGATCTGTGATGGGTAAGAAAGATGGGCCGGTGGTCCTGTGGTCGGGGTATGGGTGGGACTGACTGGCTCAGGGCACACTGGAGCCGTACACCTTCCTGGGGCCTGCTTTCTGAGTCACTTGCTCACAGTTGACCAGGTGGTGTTGAAAACGTACTTGTCACTCAGGGACCAGGGCCAGGGAACTTGAATAAACCCCCAGCGAGGTGGCTGCAGGTTGCCATTTGCAGTCCTCTCTCTGTATGCCCTCTCCCACCCCTTCCTGGAGTCCACCCAGGTGGGCAGCACACACGCTGACTGCTAACCCAGAGTGTGGGGCATGGGACTCACCGGGGGTCCTTACAGAAAGGCCTGGAGGTCTGCTTCCAGAAGGCTCACCGCCTGGAAGCCCCTAGAGGGAGATCCACTTGGACCCCCGTGGGGTCACCATGGATCAGAAGTGGTTCCGGAGCGACGGCCCACAACCACCCTCGTTGGTAGCTACAACCAAACCAACAGACCATGGCTACTCTCCTCCCAGTCCTCTGGATGCACCTTCTCCTTCTGAAATCTAAGTAGCCATCTTCTGATTGTGGTGACCCTACAGGTCAGAGCAGAACTGCCCTAAAGGGGTCCCGGGACAGCCTTTTTAAAAAAAATTGTTATTGTGGGTGAAGGTAGCAGAGCATAACTCCGGTTGGGCATTCAACAACTCACACACATTTCGCTTCATCTTATCCATCGCAATGCCCATAGTGTAACATCACACAGCCCACTTCCTCCCCA